GCCGCCGAAATTAAGCGTTGACGCTAGTGACCGCCCCGGTTAAGAGTTTTGAGAAATACGGTTGAACCTGCGGTGCGCAAGTGAACATCAGTTCCGCAGTCGTTCCTTTTGGTTGTCCAGGGGCTGCAGATAACGTTTCGGAGCCGCTTGCTTTTGCTGTGCAGTCTGCGGGTGCGACGTTACAACCGCCAGAGGGGCTAAAAGGTGAAGCCCCAGCTCTTCACCCGGCCCTTCCGCGGGAGCTTGTACATCGCAAAGCACAGTGGTGAGGCTATTCTTAGCAGTTTTCAGAGGTCCTAAAACTGACTTTTTAGAGGTATTTTTTAAAATACAGAACTAAATAGTAGAGGATTAAGTTTCGATGCCGTAGGAGAATGCATAGATCGATCCTTGTAATAAAATTGCGGCATGATCCATTCTCCAGCCCTCATCCCCCACCAGGGTGATGACCAATTTAGAGGAAGAGCAAAGCGAAACTGAGCCCTGGAGGCTTAAGGCGGCTGGTTGAGCGCGGGTTGTGCAGAGCGCGGGGCTTCTCCTTTCAGCTTCGGGACAGCGACCTCGCCGGCGACTCTTGGCCGGCCGGCCGGGCGGATCTGATATGCCACTGGAATTGATAAAAGAAGTCCACGGGGTGCCTGAAACTGAGCCTCTAAATAAACTACACAAGGTAGATTTCAGATCCCTACAGCTAGGCTGTGATTATAGCAAGAATTATATCCAGGTAAGAATTTTCGTAACTCAGAATACGTCTTTTGTTTTTAGCGGACTGCTGTATGTCTGGGTGTGGTGCTTGTTTGAATGTCTCCTGTGTTTTGGTGTCTGAGCTACTTGGATCCGTACGTCAACGTTTCCCATTAAAACAGGGAAATTATTGGCTGGTGTTGGAGTTTTTCCCCCTCCCACGTTATTCCTCTTTTCTCCTTCTGGATGTCAATGATGTGTATGTTTGTATGATCCGCTCTTCGCTGTTGTCCTACAGGTCTCTGGGGTACTGTTGCTTTTTCTTCAGCATTGTCTTCTTTTTTGGTGGGGAGAGATTTTTACATTAATTTCTATTGATCTGTCTTTAAGTTCACTGAACCGTTTTTCTGCCCTACCCAATATTTTTTTATGCATATTTAGTGAATTTTTTGTTTTTGTTATTGTACATTTAAGTTAGGGACTAGGGAGAGTGATGGGAGAGAGGTGAGAGGCTAATCAGTATAATGAGCCTGAGAGTAAAAGGAAGCGAAATAATGCTACATTTCAGTTTTGCCCTTCTAATCATTATTCTCCCTGTAGACATTTGTTTATCCTTTATTCTTCGGTTTGTGTTCCATTTTCCTGGTGTTTTATTTCGGATGAAATGAAGTTTTACATAGTTTTTTTATGTTTTCCCCTTCTACCTGCAGTGGGGGTTTCACCAAAGCTCTAAGATTCATAGGTTTGTTGACCACCTCGCAGCAGATAAGGACTTGGTTCTGAAAGAAAGACAGGAAAGAAAGACCCAGGCAGGGCCCCCTGCCTTTCCTGTAGTAACTGCTACCACCCGCCCTTGTACTGCTCCCGGCCTGGATCTTGTAAGGTTTGTAGAGAAGAGCTTTAAGTTAGTGTGAATCTCCCTTGTGTTTGCAGCTCCCAGAGACTCCATGTCTTTCACTAGCCCGTAGCTGGCCTGTAGCAACTCACTGAAATTGTTAGATGAATTTTTCTTACAGATGTCAGGCAGCATTTGCCATTTATGTCAAATAAGCAAGTTCTTACTCCCCACCTCCCGTTGGAGTCTCTTTCCTTAGGTTTCTGGCTAGTCGTTGCCATGTGACGTCAGCACTTCCTCCCATCACTCATTGGAGGTACCTCTTTTTTCCTACATTTCTGGTTATTTGGTTGCCTTCTGACTTCAACTCTGGTGGGTGAGGAAAAATTTTGAGTTTGTGCATTGTTCAACGTTTTCCTGTTCTTTCCAGCTTCCTACCTCCTAAGTGGAACTATTACCTTTACTTTTGACTGAATCATTGTGTGCTGCTTATAGTCATGTATTTTTTTTTCTGATTCCTGTCTTTTAAGTAAGATTGATTTATGAATATAGCTGTTATTTTTTTGTTGTTGGCTGTATCAAAGTCAGAATATTAGTTTAGGGGATATGTATTTTAAGATCTATTTTTAAACTTTATTAAATAAATTATATTTTTGTGTGGAAGTTTTCCAAGAGCCCCATATTTGCTCATAGATTCATTAAATTTTAGAGCCAGAAGAAATTATAAAAACTATCCAGATTAAATACTTAATTTTTTTCTGAGGCTCTGACAGAACTGGTTAGTTATACAAAAGCAGTTCATAGACTAAACTGTATTTGTGGCTTAGTCCATTGATTTGTCCACTCTGTCCTTATTTATGAGATTTTCATTTTGTACTTTAAAATTTTTCCTTAATAAGTTTTAATTTCTTTCTAGGAGCAAACTCTTTTTTTAAAAAAAATACATCTTTATTGATTTCAGAGAGAGGAAAGTGGGGGGAGAGAGAGAGAAACATCAGTGATGAGAGAGTAGTCATTGATCGGCTGCCTCCCGCACACCCCTGACTAGGGATCGAGGCCACAATCCAGGCACGTGCCCTGACCGGGAACCGAACCGAGATCTCCTGGATCCTAGGTCTATGCTCAGCTCCTGAGCCACGCCCGGCCAGACTGAGAGCAAACTCTTAATTTTTTTCTTTAGTAGAGAACAATTTAAAGACTAAAATAAAGCTAAAGTTGAGCTAGTTCATCTTTATATATAAAATGAGGAATTGATCATATTTAACTAATAAGATTGTTTAAGAAATTAAATTACGAACCAGAAGTATTTTTAGGGCCTCTTATTTTTCTCTAGATAAATCATTTTCATGTCTTAAAAATACTGACTTGAACATAGTACTTTGATTTCTTAAAAGATAAAAATCAATTGCCTTTAAAACAGTGATTTTTATTTATTTATTTATAATTTTTATTTATATCTTGATGTTATAATGAGCACTTCTGGCTTTTCTGTGTGACTCATTTTCTCTTATTTCAGGGAAAACTTTCATGTATCTCTCCTTTAACTTATGGTGGAAACAGAACACCTATTTTGAAGATTCAACTACAAGGTATATAAGACCATTTCTATTTAACATTTTGACTGTAATCTACAAAGGTGTAACTTTGTATATAAATATACACATAAAGATAAATACACAAAAAAGCACAATTTTACTTATACGATGATATAATTGAGTCTTAGCATTTGGCCTTCCTGTGGTGGTTATAGGAAATGACTTCTGAGAATGAAAATTATGGAGATTCTTTCCCAAAGCCTAGAAGATACAAATGAAATTACTTGTACAATGTTTATTTCTTATGCCCAAGTAATTTTTATTTTCAAAATTATAGATAGCTTGGTCCTTAACTACACACACAGGTCTTTTACTCTTTGATGTATGGGTGAGTGTAATCTAGACCGCACTTGTCTAGATTAAAATTTAATATGCCAGCCCTGGCCAGTTTTGCTCAGTGGTTAGAGCCTTGGCCCTTGGACTGAAGGGTCCCAGATTCAAGTCAGGCCAGGGAGACATGTACCTCGGTTACAGCTCAATCACCATGTGGGAGGCAACCAACTGAGGTGTCTCTCTTATATTGACATGTGTGTGTGTTTCTCTCTCTCTCCCACTCTCTCTGAAAAGCATGAAAAAATATCCTTGGGTGAGGATTTAAAAAAAAAACTTAATATGCCAAAAACTGTAGATTACTGCAGTTTCAGTAAATGAAATATTTGCAGGGTGATATTGTTATATTGTATAAAAGTTGAATAATTAATACCTCATTCAGTTTCTCTTGATTATAAATATGAGAAATTAAATAGGAAGTGATCATTAGGTGATGTTAATGTGATATTTATAAAAATTTATATAATGTATTCTAGTTGAATACATTTGGTTTTTATGCCCCGTAGCATTCTGTTCATTGTTTTCAAAATGAAAGTATTATAGTAAACTAAAATTGAATTATAAACATTTTACTTATTCCTTATAATTACATTTTAAAGTAATTATTCTTTTTCTTTTTCTTTTTAAATTGATTTTTAGAGAGAGAAGAGGGGAGAGAGGGAGAGAGAGAGAAACATTGATATGAGAGCTTAACATCAATTGGCTGCTGCCTGCGCATCCCCTACTGGGGCTTGAGCCCACAACCTGGGCATGTGCTCTGTCTGGGAATTGAACTGGCAACCCTTTGGTGCATAGGATGATGCCCAACCAACTGAGCTATACTCTCCAGGGTATAACTATTGTTTTTAGAATGTAGTTGCCATTGGTTTTCTTGTGTGTATAAAACTGCTGTATCTAATAAGTATTTTTCTGTGTGTGTGTTTTTCTCTAGAACAAGAACATTCGGATTCGGAGAGTAACACCATCAATGTGCTATTTTTTGGAAAATTAGCAAAGGACTGTGCAAAAGTTTTCTCTGAAGGGGTAAAATATTTTTATATTACTTTATTATTTTGGAAGTAGATTTAGAATTATTGATGATGCTATATTCATCCTATAGACCTTTTTTTAGAGATGCATTATATATTTGCAGGTACATAAAAAAATGATACTTAGCCCAGCTAGCATGGCTCAGCAGTTGAGCATCAACCTATGATCCAGTAGACTGCGGTTCAATTCCTGGTCAGGGCACATGCCTGGGTTCTGGGCTCAATCCCTAGTGGGGGGCATGCAGGAGACAGCTAATCAATGACTCTCTCATCATTGATGTTTCTATCCCTTCCTCCCTCTCTCTTCCTCTCTCTGAAATCAATAAAGACATATTCTTGTTTTAAAAAAGATACTTAGAGAACCAATATCTTTAAAATTGCAACAATTCTAAAATCAACAACCAATCAATGTTTCTCTCCCTCTCTCTGTCTTCTCTTTTTCTCTCTCTCTTCCCCTCTCCCCCACTGTCTCTGAAAAGCAATGGAAAAAATAACCTAGGGTGAGGGTTTAAAAAATAAATTTTAACAAAATTTTAATTTTTGCTTTGCTGGACTAATGATACATTTTGCTGGAATACACATGTTCTGATTGAACCTCCCTCAATATGAGGCTTTTTCTTTCTTTCAGTTTTAGCTTTCATTTAAAATAAGTTTTAACATTTAATATGTGGATATAAAATATGAGAAAATACTTTTCCGTAGTATTTTGAAAGCTTTAAAAAATATTTTATCACTAAACTGTCATAATTAGACATTTATTAATCCACTTTCCTCACTCCTGTAAGATTTGGTTCTGAAAGAGGAAGTAGAGTAGTGCCTGTCTTGGAAGTCAGGAGATCTGGATTTTTGTGTGACTTTAGGCTATTCATTCATCCTGTCTGGCCCTTATTTTCTGAAAAATGAACGTCCTTTTCAATTTCTACAATGCTCAGATGCTATGAAGTAAGTTTTATAGTATGTACTGCTTATTTAAGATTTAATGAAGGTATTGTATTATCTCTCTGTATTTATACTTATATTCATATATTTGGTAATACATTTGGTTGTCCAAACATTTGTTGATTGTTTTCTGTCTTCTGCTATACTAAATGTCAGAGACATCTTAACTGAATAAGACAGTTATGGACCTTGCCATTATAGAACAGTGTTTAATGGAGAAGAGTGAAATTAAATAACTAGTATGGGATTAATAGAATGAGAAAAGTAGCAGAAAGAATGAGCACAGGGGTCCTGGGAGAGTGGATCAGTAAGGCAGAACAGCATATTTAAAGACCCTAAGTGGGGATCCTGGAATGCTAAAGAATTATGAGAAAGTGGAATTCCAGAGTGAGTCACATAATATGTGGCTGGTGAGATGGGTGGACATCCGATTATGTAGTGATTTGTAGGCCATTTAAAGATTTTGGGTTTTGTGATATTACATAAAGTACTTCCTATTATGTCCTTGGTGTTACATGATCCAAAAAATGCTAATACTCAGGAAATATATTTTTTATATTAGAAAAACATTTTCTGCCCGTCTCAAGACTATCAGTGATGTCAGAGTCCTGTACTCTTTCTCTCTTTTACAGTGTTTTAAAATGTTAACCTAACACAGTTTGCAAGATCAGTATAGTAAAAATTACTTAATGCCTGTTAAAGTCAGTAAGTGCTTTTCTTTTGGGGTTGTTTCGTATTGTCTGTGCCCTTTTCCTGCTTACTGAGGGTAACCACTTAAGAATTTTTAATATTGTCTGTTGAAAAATAGCAAATTAATACACTGATCTTTTGGTTTACATTTTTGTTATTTACCAATTTGCTTTTTATTTTTATCGCTGATTGTATTCTTTATTAGGAGATATTAGCGTGTAAATACCATATTTGTTAATGTGCAAACAAATTGTCTGATTTTTTGGCCTTTTAATTCTTGATTTTTCAAGAACACTTATTAATGTTAAAAAGACCTATACTGCTTTCATTCATTTTTTCTGAGATTGGTTTGCTGTAGAAATATTCCTGTTGGCTAAACTAAATAGAAAATTGTTTAATGACAAGGGCTTACTCTTTCTAAGGCACTGTGACAGAGACGTACAGACACAGAAGGGAAAAGACCCATTTGCTGATATCTGAGTATCGTAAGGTAGTGCAGAGAGTTCAGTTAGACCAGATATGTTTTCACATTTTATAATATTCCTGCAAATACATTGATAAAACCTTATTACTTTTAGTAGCATGGCATTATTCTCAGGCTGGTTTCCTAATACTTTTTTAGCAGAATGAGAAAACATCTACTCTAATGTAGCAGAATATACTCTTATCATTGAACTATGTAATTCTCGTTGTCTGAACAGCTTCAGTGTGCTTTTCTAAGAAGCTTAGAACTTAGAATAATGCATATTAAATTTCATTTTCAACTCAATCTAATGAGTGTTTATACAAACTAATACTGCCTATTATATACTGATCTTTCTTATCTTCTCTGTATGTGAATTAATTTAAAAGGCATTATGATTTGTAAATTCATGGGGACCAAATCCTGGGAACCATTTTTTCTCACTTTTGTTTAGATCTGTACTTCAGTTTTCACCAGTATTAATTTATTCAACAGGTATTTGTTGAGCACTGACTATGAAGAGAACAAAACAGAAGCCTCTGCCAGTCACTTGTATGGGTTCTACAGATGGATGATATACTATTCTTAGTCCCAAGGATCTTAAAGAGTTTTAAGGGCGTTAAAAACAATTTAAAAAGTTTATAAATAACACACAAAGTAAAAAATAATCAAAATGCTGCATTGGAGAGTTCAAAGGAAAAAAGAATTATTTTTCTGGGAGAGGGACAAAAATCTAAGCTAGACCTCACAAGGAGGAAGCATTTATAGCCCAGACTTTAAAAGATAGATAGGGTCAGATATTTGCAAAAAAGAAAAATGCTACTCATTATTAGTGGGGCCTCGGAATAAGCATAGAGTGTATGTGGAAGAGCAGTAGGTATATAAAAGAATCCCATATATGTAGTATTGAATGGAAGTATATGGAGATAAAACAGGCAAGGTCAGTTGGGATGAGATCACTGAGCGCCTTTAATGAAGTTTATGTATATATATTCAAATATAAGTTTATGTTTACAAATATAATACATTTTTCTTGTGAATGCTGATGTTCAGCTTTTAGTGATTTATTCCCTTTATTTGAAATCTTTTCTCTATCATAAATACTTCTAAAAAAGTTTAGATTATACCAAAAAAAAAAAAAGAAAAACATGCATTTGTACCTCTAACACTTGCATTTAATGTATTTCCTTTCATATAATATTTATGTTTAAGACATTTTAAAGTTAAATAGACAATAACATAGGTAGGTTATTTTTTGTGGTTTTAAGAGAATCTAGAACTGGTAAGCCTCACTACTTCTGTTTATCTTCCTGTGTTTGATTAAACTTTAAATCTTTGACTAAAATCTTAATTTTTCATTTAAATCAGGACTTATTAGTCTGAGGTAAATTGAAAGCATTGCATATTTTTTAGTTTGTAAAAATAATTTATTCCAGAAGCAATCTTACTGTTTATTTTAGTGCCCTTTAAAATTGCCTAAAACATGGTAGAGACAGAGTGAGAAGGAACATTTTCTCCCATTTAACTATGAAGATTTGTGGTTATTTAGCATTATCAGCATAGACATAATTGTGTTGGCAATCACCTGAAGAAAAAAATGCAGAAATTTGCAGAGCTAAGATACCTGAATAGGGCCAGAGATTTTAGAAAGGCAATATATGATCCTTCCATTGACTCACAGACTCTTTATGGAGGGCCTACTATGTGCCAAATCCTGTAAATACACAGCAGACCCCCATCTTAGCCTAGTTAATGGGTCCAAGTAGAGAATCCTGGGAATTGACACAAGACCCTGTATGTGCAAAGCTGAAGTCTTCTATACAGAAGACTTCCACTTGGTAAGAGATTAAGATTATTGAAGGAAGCTGCCAAAAGTCCAGGAATTTTTATGTATTTTAAGAATTGGGTGATAAAATTAGAGGAGTAAGATAATAAAATATATATAATGCAGCAAGACAGAACTTGTTAGGTGTGTATGTTTCAGTATTTGGAAAATAAGATTTAACTATAGAGTGAAATAGGCAGGAATAAATGGAGAATGACTTCTTAGTACTATTATAAACCTAAGTAGAAAGGAAAAATCTCTGTTCTTATTAGTTTATAAACAGAAATTTCTTATATTTCATACCCTGAATTTATAGGCACATATGTTAGCTTTGTAACCATGTGGAATTTTTGTACTGAGACATCTTTCTCAATGTAGCCTCTCAATTCTGAGATTGTTTCACTTAAATTCCATTCATGATACTGTTTGATCACCTGTTTTCCCTTTATTGTGTTTATTTGTGCAAACTTACATAAATTGAGATAAACATTGACTTTTGAAGTTCCACTAAATAAAAATTTTCTAAGTGATTTAGTTGGTGTTTTCCTGGTTCACAAAGTGGGACATTACACCATCCCACTGTTGATACCCTTTAAGAGGAGGTGGTAGGCTCAGTCTTACATTCAGAAAGCATTAAACAAGTTAAGCTAACCAGTTTCCAATTTATAGCAATGATTCCTGTTTTTAAATAATAAAAAGTAAGGATTTATGTGTCATTCTCAATTGTAGATATTTTGATAATGAAACCTTTTTCTTTTTCTTTTTTTCTTTTTTTTATGTAGGACACCATTGCAGTGGCTGGATTTATTGTTTTGTCTTCCTCTACAAGCAAAGATGGTGAACATAGCTTATTTTTGAAAGCATATGAGGACTTCAAATCAACTGTTTATGTAAATGTGAAACTTTTAGTCTCTACTCATGTTAGTGGTTTTAATGAGATAAGGTGTTGGAATAGAAGTATTTCTGTAAATCTACAGGCAAACTAGTCTGAATTAATTTAATATTTTAAGTTTTACAAATAGAAAATTTTTTCTTGGCTTTATATTTAGATGACTTCAGGTAGAAAAGAAAAATCCCTTAAAGATAGTTGTTTATTGATGAAAATTTTAAAACTCCAGACACTCCAGTCCTTATCTTATTCTTTGCAATGATACTCTCAGCCTCTTTTGATGATCTATTTGGTTTCACTTTAAATTGATCAAGTATCCCTTTTCAGGTAAAACTGATTTCCTCCTATTTTATTCTTTATGAAGTTGCTCATTCTTTTTCTCTTCACCTTTCCCCTACTCCAGTCCCACCCTCCACCCCTAACAAACACATTTGGAGATTCTCTCTGTTTGAAGAAGGCTGTCAAGTAGAGTTGGGTCAAGCCATGTGCTTATAGGCCAACATCTGCCTGTTTTTTTGTAGTATGCACAAGGGCATCACTGGGCCAGGGGCTGTCCTATGATATTAAAGTTAATGAATTAGACGGAAGCTTAGCTTAGACAACTTTGCACATGGCACTCTTAATTTGTAAGCCATAACTTTATGTCACTCTGATGACTTTGAATATTACATACAGTTAAATGTGTAGTTTCACTACAATTAAAGGTCTGTAGTCACACGGGAAGTTGTTTGTGTACAAATAAGCCCTTTCTGGTTTTTTTTTCAGGTTTATGTTAAATCTGTAATAGATTTTTCTACAGAGTCAATGTCCTTGGTAAGATGATATCTAGTTTAATTTGGACTATGTACACCCCTTCCACATATACACACATGTATATGTATATGTATATTTGATCCACTGTATAATCTGATTTTGAAGTAGTATCAGTACAGTGGGAAAACATAATCTCTACTTTTTTGGATTATCTGATGTTACTTCAAGTTATATATTTACCTAGTGATTAATATTTGGCTATTCTATTGTCTGGACTGTCTGCTGATACTTTGCGTAAGCTACATGCAGAAGAAAACTAAAGTGGAAAAAAGTTTTATTGTGTGAAGACATTGGAATTTGTACTACTTTTAAGCCTCAGGCAAATGTATTTATTTTGCTTTTATCAGCTTGTATTTAAACAGATTTTTATGTGTTGAATTATGCAATTACAAGTAGTTTATTATACTTTTCACACATTTTGCTCTTTTTAAATCATTTTCTTTTCAGTATTTTATAAAATTTTGTTATCTCATAGTAATAGGAAGGTTCCTATTTTTACAGGTGGGCAATTTGTAGCTGAGTGAAACTGGAAAGAAGCTAATATATTGATAAGTTTAATGCAAAATTCATGTTCTACCATGTTCTTAAACCTTTAGTTTCTAATAGACAGAGTTCAGAGATGTTGTTTCTAGTTGACAATGACTACTAGATACAGGTTTTAAATTCTGAATAATTCTATAATTATATAATTTGAATTTGTGATTTAGGGAAAGTATAACCAATTAAAGAATTAATGTACTGTTTTTTAAAAAAAGTGAATTAACCCCAAATATTAGTATTTCTCAGAATTGTTTTAAATAGATCAGGTACAAATATTTGATACATCCATGAACACATAAATAAGGCAGAAATAAACAAAGGAACCTCTAAACTTGAGAAAAATGGTTTTTCAGAAAGCCCAGATATTCTGAACTATTAGAGTATAACTTAGCTGCTGTGCATACGTATACTGGCTTATTTACATGGAAAGCCAAATTATAGTTAAGAACTTGTTTGTTGGCCACGAATTAACAAGTACATTACTTGGATGACCAAAATGGATATGGTCATTGAGCTGTGCTGGCCTTCCCATTTGTCTCGGCGTTTGGGAGATACTTCTTAAGATAGTGTACTGGGTGGGTAATGGGATCTGATGTCTGAACTCCTTTATGGGTTGTTTGACTAATATGCAGACATATCCTTGTGAATCACTTTCCCTTTTCTTTTCAGACTTATATACAGTTATTTCAGAAAATTGTGTTTCTCTTATTACCATTTTTAAAGAATCTTTATTGTTGAAAGTATTACAGATGTACCATTTATAATCAAAACCTGGCTTTATTTAGGCCTAAATAAAATCTATATCCCACAAGTTCTGAAGTGATATTACTTAAGATTAAAAACCCGAGCCAAAGTATTTTAAACATCATTTCTTAGAATTGTGCACAAATTATACCATTTATAATCAAAGTTATTTCTAAGAAAAACAATATTGGTTTATACAGCAACCTTTTAAGCTGTGCATTTCCTTTTTCAGGCTTCATCCTCTTTTTAGACACTTAAAAGGAAAAAAAATGCAGCTAGATGACTCATCTTTGACATAATGTGATTCTAAAATGTAAATACTTAATATTGATATATTCACTGTCTTTCTTTAGGTTCCAGCAACACGTTATGTATATACACCCCTGAATGAACTCAAAGGTGGCATGATCGTCAATGTCTATGGTGTTGTGAAGTTCTTTAAGCCTCCATATCTAAGCAAAGGAACTGGTAGGTATTAAAACTGATCAAGATTTTAATGGACTGGAACTGCTTTATTGGTTTCAGGAACATAGCTTCTTCAGTACCCTTAGAAGCTCAATTCTGATTTACAATTGCCAACCAACGATCTTCCATTTGCAAGTGTTATCTGGCTGGCTGTAGTTGGCTTGCCAAATTGAGGAATAAGCCACATTGCTGGTAATAATGTCCATTGAACTTGGGAAGAGATATAATTTTAAAACTTTTTTGCCCTTGATATGTTGCTAATTCTTTTTTTAAAAAATATATCTTTATTGATTTCAGAGAGAGGGAAGGAGAGGGAGAGAGAGAGATAGAAACATCAATGATGAGTCATTGATCGGCTGCCTCCTGCACGCCCCTAACTGAGGATCAAGCCCGCAACCCGGGCATGTACCCTGACCGGGAATTGAACCCGGATCACCTGGATCCTTGGTCTACACTCAACCACTGAGCCATGCCTGTCCGGGCATGTTGCTAATTCTTATCATTAAAACTTTTTAGTAAATTAATCAGCAAATATATTATTTTCAAAAACAGTAAAATCATAGTAGTATTGAATAAATTTATAACTTTTTAAAACATTGATAACTCAATTTTAAGTTATTAGCATAGTTTTCTTCTACCGTGTTATTAATTCATGTGTATATAATGAAAGCATTGGGAAACTAATATTTATTATATATTCATAATTATATATGTTTAGTTGGATCCAGTCCCTTAATAAAAATAATCATGAGTAGTAATAAGCCATCTGTTGTCACAAAGATATTTCTCTATTTGTTGTGAGATAATAAATTAAAATGTCATCAACTTTATCTGATCATATTCACTGAAATTCTAAAATATACCGTAAGGTATAGTGAGAAGTCTTTACTACTAGCAAGATGGTAAAGTTTTAAAACTGTCTACCTTATAACTTTAGTTATACGTAGTTTTATTTCTGTTGATAGAACCTATCCTTCAGTATGCTGCAGGTGAATCAGACAAATAGCACTGATTTTTGTGTTCAGGAAGGGATCAACTTCATTAGTATTAGCACTGAGAAGTGCCAGAATAAATATACGGGAACAATCCATAGCTGTGCCTTTTTATACTGCATAAAGCAACATTATTTTGTAAATACAAATCTAATATTATATATAGATGTACATAACTACTTATGTGGAGGAAAATTACCTTTATGCCACTCTAATTTAGGTAAATGGAAAATAATTTATTCTGTTACATATCATTAGCTAGAATTTTTTATTACAATTTATGTAAATACTTGGTTAAGGTGGCACCTGTGAGGCTTCTCAGCTGTAAAGTTCTTACGATTTTTCTTTTTAAATTGATATATTTTGGAAAGGGCTATTTTGTGGCTGCGCAAATATTCTGTTTCTCCTTAAACTTTTTCCCGTTAATTTTATTTATTTTTAAATATGTTTTTATTGATTTTAGAGATGGGGGGGAGAGGGAGAGAGAGAAAGAAAGAAACATGGATGTGAAAGGGAGACATCGATTGGCTGCCTCCTGCGTGCCCCCAACGGGGGACTGAGCCAAAACCCAGGCGTGTGGCCTGATGGGGAATCGAACTGGAAACCTTTCCATGCACAGAGCAATGCCCAGCCAACTGAGTCACACTGGCCAGGGCACATTTACTCTTATCATCTGTTTTGCTAAATAGGATAAATGTGTGTAAGCCATAAAACATTTCAGGCTTGTTAATGGTTCGGGAACACTTTTTTTTTTTCTTCCTCTCCAAATATTTGAGCTCAGAGAAAGGGAGAGAATAGTCAACCTATTATTACTTTATATCTTCGTATTTTTTTTACTGTTCACCTCTCCTTTAGTTCCGTCCCCAAATTTTGATGCCCTAGAGGTCTGAGCCTTTTTGTGCCACATAATGTGGCCTATCACCTGTGGCTCCCTCCCTTACCTCAGGAATGCTCTACATTCCTAAATTGTTTTTCCTACCCTACATCCCATCAGATTTCTCTGTTTTAGAAAAGCAGTTTGATTAAAACTTGGGCAGTCTGGGATGTTACGGTGTTCCTACAAGCAGACTTTTCTTTTACTGTTCATTATCTTATAAATGAATACCTTCTGTTTTAGGCATTTGCTGATCATTATAATCAAATTTCTTAGAGTAGTATCCAAAACATTGGACTTCTGAGAGCCCCTAATAGTTTTACTTACTTTTAGTTCTTGGAATAGGGTGCTAAGATATAGGGCCCTAAGATTTTTTCTTTTCCTTTTCTATAAAAATATCCCAGCTAGCACTAGAATACTATTTTTAGCTGTGTAAAAATATTATTTTCATTTATGATAGTGACTTGGCATTTATGCATTAATGTCATGTAGCATAATTGAATATTTTTGTTTTGTATGAATAATATTGGTTACTTATTAAATGCTTATATAGTTATTGCCTTTTAATTTTGTGAAGAATAATAGCAAACTCTCACATATCCCACAATAAAATAGTTTAAAAGAATTTATTAGTTACTGAATAATTAATGATTCATTGGTACTCCATAAGATCCAGGATCCCTCTGATTCATCAAAGAGATTAAAGCATCTAGTACAATATAAAATTATATGTAATATTTAATTATACTTTTACTTTTTAAAATTGATAATGCATCTTTTGGAGTTTTAACTATTTTGCAGTTCAGCATCCTTATGAAAATGTGATAACAGGTATAGAGCCTGTCTTAGAAAAGTGCACATACATGCATTAAAGACTAAAGCATACAATATCGAAGGTTCATGCCTTCCTCTTTGAGTTCCACATTGCAAACTCCTGGTCTGTGGTGTGTTCATATTTATTTGAAGTTAGTTAATATCAAAATCACAACAGACATTCTTGGTTTAATATATGCATTTAAAATAAAAATATTAGGGTTTTTTTTGGTTCACTCATTAGTTCATTCATTTATCCAACAAACATATATTGAGTGCTTTCTATATGCCAGGTATTATGTTAGACACAGGAAATTCAAGTATATATGTTACTGTTTCTACCCTCAAAGAATTAAAGTTTATGGTTGACAGATCAATTAATAATTGCAATACAAGGATTATTTATAATTGTTCCTGAATTCACTTTGTTTTTAGTCTTGTCCCAATTTATAAAATGATTTGTCCTTTATATTGAGTGCTGTATAAGGCAGAATCTTCATTGTAAAAACATACAGTGTTTTTTCAGTGTACATTTTAAAGTTGAACAATGGATGGAGATTGCGGATTGGGTAGGCATGGAGTTTTTTATTTCTCAAAAGCTAAAAAATTGTCATGTCTAGTTGAGTGAGGTAAGACTCTTCCCAAGTGCTTGGCTCCCTTACTTTCAGGAGTGGAACGCAACCAGGGCATGGCTAGTCATCGCTTACTTCCTTAACAATTTGGAAAGGTCAGCTAAGCCTCTTTTCAACTCTTTCCCAGCTCTTCTGTCCATGCCAGTAGGAAGTTAGCTTCCACTTGGAGAATGAAGGTAGAGGAAGGCCTTTCTTCCTCTGTCACTGAACCTTTGTATTGCTTGCTTTCTTATATTAAAAAATGACTTCATTGATGAAACTTGAGGCTTCCATCTGGCTTTCTGTCCATATCCTAGGACTCTGTCTTTCATGGCCTTTTCTTCTAACAGGTTATTAGCCTGCTGATTTAGGATATTACCCTTATCTTTCATTGGCTTATTATTGAATTATTTTAATGAATCATAAAAATCAGTACTGTTCTTATTCTCTCTTGGAATTTGTGGTACCTTCTTTTATTCATTCCACTAAAATATTTGCAAGCCTTATGTAGCGTTGTGCTAGACTTAGTTGTTGTCCATACTGATAAAATGATAGGCTCAGCTTACAAGTGAGGGAGACCTAAATGTAGTCAACTAGCTGTGAGGCACAGGTGTACGCTGTGACTGAGGAACACGCAACGTGCTTTGGAGTGAGAGTGGAGAGATTAGTGTTAACAGGGCAAAGGCTTCCAAGAGAGAATAGCATTTGAGCTGAACTTTCAGAGATAAATTGGATTTTGATAGGTGAGGAAGAAGAGGCCAACATTCCAAACTTTGGAAATAGCAACAAAAGTTGTCATGAAGACGACTTTCTCTGTGAGGGACTATTTCCTTCCCATCTCCACCTAATGGTATTTTTTGAAAAGGAGTTTAGAAACATTATATGGTACTACACTGAAGCTGTTTATGAACCCTTGTGCTCTCTGTATTTGTGTTGCCTGTATTTCTTCAGGGTCATGACCCTCTAAATAATATTTTTGCTCTTACTCAGTTCTGTTGTCTTTTATATTGATTGTTGTTTATGCTTTACAAGATACCCTAAGTATAATGTAGTATCTTCTCTCTTGTATAAATGTGGAAACTTGGTTCAGAAGTGCTACAGGTTATTCGATATTGCAGTGAAACTTTATAACAATAGGCAGCTGTTTGCGCCAGGCCATGTTTGCGTCATGGACCATAACCAGGATCTCGTTCATGGTTATGGTTTTCATCACATTTTAGAAGGAATCAGACAGTTGAGTGCTGTGCTTATATTTGCTCCCTCCGAAGTTACAATTAAAATCAAAGTTTAAAAAAGGTATGCCTGGCTGATGTGTCCAAGTGGTTGAGCACCAGGTCACCTGTTCGATATCTGGTCGGGGCACATGCCCAGATTGTGGACTCGATCCCCAGTAGGGGGCATGCAGGAGGCAGCCAATCGATGGGTCTCTCTATCCTTGTCTCTTCCTCTCTCTAAATCAATAAAAACATATTTTTAAATAAAGGTATGATTTTAATGTCAAATAGAATGGAAGAGGAGATGATAAGTTAAGAAGATATACCAACAAAACTTCAATGCTGAGATTTGGACGGTTGATGCTAAGTGATTTAATCAAGAAGAGTGAATTTTATTTTGATGCGTGGGGAAGGCATAAACAGGCAACGCCATACTACAAAGTCTCTGTTCTGTTTGCATTCAGCCCTCATTCCCTTCCCCAGCTCTAGGCAACCGCTG